AAAAATCGAATGAAATAAACATAAATTGAGAAACAACTGGTTGTCAAAATGGGTAGCTTAGCTAATTAACTACTTTTAAGCACATGTTCACATTCCTTACTTCCATGCAATTCAAACAACAATTCCATTTTGTTTCTTATGTTGTCTGGAATATATATATATATATATATATATATATATATATATATATAACAGCATATTTGCTGCCACAGAATTCGATCCCTTTCAGAAAAGCCATGCTTGGAATTTTGTTACTAATACTTGTAAATTGCATTAAGAATAATTAAATAGCACGCCGTTGCCTGTCTTGTAGTTTTTGTAGCTGAAGTTGAGGAATATGCTCTTCTCATCAGAACTCGCAAAAACTAATTAGATATTACTAAATTCCTTGACTTACATGCATCTCCTTATATGCTTTTCCCCATATTCTCTGCCCATACCCGTACAAATAACCCAGAATATTTTCCAGCAAGTAGAATATTATTAATTCTGTTCTAATCATGTATAAAAAGTTAAAAGTTAGGAAGGACTAGGCAAGAAGAAAAAAAAAGACGATGCAGCTTTTTTGTATCTGCATGCATGCTGTTTCTCTTCCTAATTGTTATCTCTGTGTCAAGAGGAGTCCAGGTTTTGATTTTCAAGCAAGCACTCTATTGCTTGCCAAAAGGAAAACAACAAGATTTACAACTTTTACTTCTTTCTTCCCTTTTGGGTTACGAGTACGTGATTGGGGAATAATTAACGAGCCTTTTTCTTATTATGACTTAAGTTTTATACATATTTGTTTGATAATTCACTTTTAAAAACACATAATATCTACTTCTTAACCTAAAATCTTAATCAAGTCACTAAGATACCATCATTTGATTCAAAATGCTGAAATCAATGTAAAATGAGAGAAATCATATCAATGTTACAAGTACGACCCGATTATGTGGATAGTAAGTTTCCTTAGATGAAATCATGTTCCTCGAATCACTCCGAATACTACAAATTATAAAGGGTAATGTCTATTTTTTTATGTAAACCATTTTCAAATTCTTTAAGATATCCAAACCTGTTAAAATGCTATTAACTAGCCAAATCTTTCATAATTCCCCTAAAATATTAGCCATTTTTATGTTATCGTTAATAATTTTGTAACTCTTTTCTTAGTTTAAATACTAAAATTTTGGAATGTTGATAATCATGTGTCTCTTTCAAGTCTATATCATAATATCAAGTCAATATTACTAACAAAATTGCTATTTGGAAGTAGGGCTGCAAATGAGCCGAGCTGAGCTGAGTTATTCCCCAGCTTGAGCTTGACTCGTTAACAAATGAGCTAAGCTCGAGCCTGAGCCATTTATTAACGAGCCGAATCGAGTCGAGTTCGAGCTAGGCTTGTTTACTAAAATTCTTAGATCGTATTTAATACATTCATTTTGTATGTTGTGTATGGTACATGTGATTGATGTAGCGATAAAAAAATAATCAAATGTTCAACATTGATTAATCTTATATTATAATTTTTAGGTGTCATATTGTTTAGTTACTAAATTTTAACTAGTTCAAATCATGTTATTTCATAGTATCGAAACAATTTTGTACATAATTTCTTTATAGAATTAAAAATAAGGCATATTTTCTTACATGTTCAACATGTTAAACTTCACATGATGTGAGATATATAATTTAACAATCCTATGAATTATGAAAGTCCAAATTATATCGATTAGTCCATAAGTCAGTGATCAAGTTGGCCCTCAAACCACAATGTTGAGACATCTCATGAGCTCTATATGAGCCAACTCACGAGTTGAGCTCAACAAGTCACCGAGTCGAGCTAGCTCGCGGGCTTCACGAGCTGAACATAGCTAGGCTCAAGTTTGGCTCGTCAGTAAACGAATCGAGTTACGAACGAGTTTTTCCTGATTCGAGCCTCGAGTTGCTCGCGAGTAGCTTGGCTCATTTGCAACCCTATTTGGAAGTTAACATTTGGCTACTTTTTAGTATTTTGATAGTTTTGGCTAACAAAAAAGAATTCGAAAAAGATTTGGCTAATAAATAGTCATTACCCAATTATAAATGAAGCATGCTTTGATGGAGAACCTCTATATAAAGTAAACTTAATTTTTTTTATCTTATAATAGATCACTTATATTACCAATGAAACAAAGATACATTGTTCAGATGCAGAAGGAAGCTATACTCGAAAATCAAAATCCAGCTCACACTAGACGGACAAATATGGGCCTCTATAGCCACCATATGTAACACCCTATTGTTCTCACTATACTCGCAAATTGAATCGAAAACTTTGGGATGTGCTTAAGGAGCTTCAATTTGGAAAAAACAGTATCAGATGTACTTTCTAGTAGTGTCCATTAGTCGAGACTAGGGAACCGGAAGTCTCCTATGGTGTTGTTCCCACATACCTCATCAGAAGTGATACATGGAAGAAGGAACATATATAATCTCCCTCTGAAAAGCCCAACAAATAAGAAACCTAACTAGCTGTCTTTGGTATCATATAAAGGGCATACAATACTGGTTACCTATCAGGTTAATTTGAAGCCTATATCTATAGCGGATCAAATCTTGACGTTGTTGTCAGAGAATTTGTCCTTATTGAAAGAGAGTGATGATTTTGTTATTTGTTTCCTTTTATTTTCATTTGTTTTATTCTATTTTGATTTTTGAGAGTCTTTGTTTTGTTTTGTTTAGTTTGCTTAGAGTCTTTTGTTTGAAGTCTTCTTGTGTTACTTTTCATTTTTATCCATTTGGCACCCAAGGTGCCATTTTACCTCAAATTAATTTTGTGAGTTAGACACCAATTTTCAAAAGCTCGTATTTCGACAATTTTAAGGTAGCTTGAAATACAATTGTAAGGTAGCTTCTAAGCATGAGGCCAACACCAACCATGAGAAAAACCCAAATTTAAACTCAAAGGAAATTCTCAAGGTCATTTTTATCGGAGTGGTACCTCTGATTCCTCTGAATCTAGGTCACTACAAGTTAGGAAAAGAGAACCCACAAGAAAATAAATCATAGCTCTTTCCGTTAATCTTATTTTTTTTTTTAATCTATATATGTTCATAGGTGGAAAACAATAAATCACTCTCTAAACCTGAAGCTCCAAGAGACATTGGTATACGGACATTGTATGAATACACTTAATCTCAAACAGGGAACATAGGTCCCAACATCATTCCTTGACCCATCACGGTTCTGAATTTTGAGATACGAATATCCAAAATTCACATGGTTCAGATTGGTGACTTTTTTAAGGGCGAGATAATGAAAACCTCGTTGAGCATATCAAAATGTCTATGGAAATATGTAACTTTGTATAACACTTTGGTGGTGAACCCAATGCAATACGCCTACATCTCTTTTCTTTCCCCATTGGGGAAGAAAAGGAATGGATAAATTACCAATCTCCAGGAACATTTCATACATGGGATGGTCTAGTACAATAATCCATCAAATAATTTTTTCCTCAATGGAAAACCGATAAATTAAGATACCAGATCTCTCATTTTAGGAAGCGTAGTTTCAAAACTCTATATGAGGCTTGGCATCGATTCCAAGAGCTTCTTAGAGCATGTCCTCGTCATGGATTCCACAAGAAAAACTCCTTGACATCTTTCGTAAAATCTTAGACATTAACACACGGTTTTAGTAAATCAGTTAGCCAAAGGTGACATCATTGATAACACCTAAAACGAGTGTTATTAGCCTTTCTAATATAGGTGTGTTTTCATTTCTTGATTGAGCATAAACAGGCGTAGCTTCAACCCTGCATTTTAGCCTAGATATTTTTCCTATTGCACATGAACTTTTTTAGGAGAAGTTATGGTTGGGTTTACGTCAAACTGGAAGGAATTAGGGCATCTAGTGTCGGTTGAAGACATGAGAAGTTCGCACTCTTCGCAGGAACAAGGTGGCCGGAGATCATGCCGGGAACTTCAGGTGGTGATATTCTTTTTCACTTGAAATGAAGAATTTTTTCCATTTGAATTTAATAAAATTTATATAGATGTAGACATATTTTTATAGGTTTTTTAACCGGGAATGGGGAAGATGATTAGTATTGGGCCGCCTAATAATGTCAATTATTGATATGACAGAAATGTACTTAATTCATGCAGTAGATATATATGTATATTTTTCTGTTGAACCACGGTATGATTTTGTAAGAAAATAGGGAAAATAATCAGAGAGGCAGGACTGCAGCAGGGGTGGATTGGTCCATTGGCCGAATCGGAAGGTTGAATTGAAGGAGGAAGACCAGAGTCGTATCAAATTTGAAGGGCAACAAAATGTTTATTATGTAATATCTACATCACGTGTATAGGTTTGCAGGAAGCCTCAGAAGATAAAATGAAGAAAAAAAGTATCTTTCTTTGGGAAAATTTATGGACCCAGCTGTTTGGTTTGTAACAGATGCATACGACGCCAACGTCCAGACTGCTGCCTCAGCCTGAAACTCCAATTCTACTTTATTCAAGCATCTTTCACTCAACCCAAAAAAATAAATTAGAGAAAGAAGTAAAAGAAAGGATGTGGCAAGATAAGCTAGAAATATATGTTTCTGTTAGAGGTGGGAATTGGATTAGATATATGGATTTAGTAGATTTATGGATTGGATCATATGGATTGGTGGATTGATTCATGAGTTTAAAATTTAAATGACATTCAAATTTTTGACCAATATATAAATTTTCAAAAGTTTGGGTACCTAAATATCATAATAAAAAATTTTAGCTACCAAAACATAATTTTCTATTGATATTATTTTTAGTATAAAAATAAATTGGCAAAATACACTTTCATAGCCATAACTATTCGCGTTGTGACAAATATAGCCACTTTTTAAAAAATACATAAATATAGCCATTTTTCAAACTTGCTTGACAATTTTAGCCATTTCCGTTACAAACTTTAACATCGTCACTAACACCGTCAATAACATCTACGTGTCGCTGAGGTGGATGCCACCTGAACGACACGTCGTCGCCAATTAGACATCTTTATGCCACGTCATACTAAAATTAATTTTTAACATGAAATAATTAATTTTTACCGAAACCCAAAATAAAAGATTTTCAATGAGGATTTGATGGTGAAAATGGTGGCAGGTGCCCCCAATTAGGGTTTTTCAGTTTCTGGATCTGAAATTTTTCAAGGAGTAAGTTCAATGGCGATTAGGGTTCTTCAATTTTTCGATCTGGGATTTTCGCCGACAAGATGTGAGAGGAAAGGGGAGGCCAGATCGAGCAAGACGAGGAGGAACGGTCGTCAGTCCTGTTGGCCACCGTCGCCGCTTTGTAATTCTCGCGAAGTCCACAACGACTTTCGCGACGGGATAAATCGATCCAATGGAGAAGTCGGAAGGAACTGAATAAATCGCGGAGCTTCGCGACAGTGGCAGCGTCGGAGGAGATTTTTGGAGTTGGCGACCTTGACTCCTTGGCTGCTGGTGACTCCTTGGCCTCCTCCTAGCTCCAAAGAAACTTCCTCGGCGGCGAGATCTGGATGGTCGACGTCCACGGATCGACGACCTTCTTCAGCTCTAGACCACCACCGCCACCGCTCTTCATTCTCAGTCAACAGTTTCTCAATCTCGTCCCTTTTCTCCTCCACAACGGAGCTCCGCAATCTCATAGGCATTCAAGTTGCTCTACATAGCAAGCAATTGCGCATCGTACCTACTGTAGGGTTTCAGCGGCAGAGACGAGCCCTGCTCCCCGCCGTCATTATTGGAGGAATTAGAATCATAATCAGGGGAAGAAGCGTTTGAGAGATCTCTAACGTGGGAGATGATCTGGGCCGTGGATGTATGGACGATGGGGAAGAGAATCGGGATGGGTCTGCTAGGTTGGGTAGATGGAAAGAAGGGGAAAAGAAGATGAAGGACGATTTTCAATTTTTATTTATTTTTATTTTTACTTTTTAGTGTAATTATAATCATAATAAGAAAGGAAACTTTCCATCTAGGATTGGTTTAAACAAAAAAATTGCCACATCATCAGAAAATGTTAGTATAGTCAGCATTTAAGATGTTGTCGTTAAAGTTTTGGACGGAATGGCTATACGAGTGTATTTTTCAAAAAGTGGCTATATTTGTCACAACGCGAATAGTTATGGCTATGAAAGTGTATTTTGCCAAATAAATTTTAGGTATCAAACTTTAAAATATAAAAAGTATAGGTATTGAACTATAATTTCTATTTAGATCCATGAATCCATCAATCTAATTGAATTCGAATCAAATGGATTGAATTAGTTAAATTTTTCGGTGCATGAATTGAATTGAATTGGTGGATTGGAAATTGTCACCTCTAGTTTCTGCAATTGAACACCGTGAAGAGCCTGAAATAGAGGTGGGTAAAGGTTCCATGTTATTCTCTTAATTTTATGCAATCATAATTTCAGTAGGGCTTTGTTGGGAAAGAAAGAAGATTATGCCTCTTCGAGTTCGAGGCTGTATACACATAAACTACATTAATTGGTAACTAAAGCTAAGTATATGTCTTTGCTTTGTTTAATAATTAAGGAGGAGGGTATAGAACGAGACAGCGGGACAGTGAAGGAATTCCCTTGGAGTTTGTCTTAATCGATGATTGCACATGTATGGAATTTTGTAGGCCATGAACCCAAGATAATACATAAACAAAACCCTAGGAAGCTATTGATAAAAGAAGACAAAGAGGGAAAAACAATACTCAATGATTCAATCAATATATATCATTCCTCACACACCAACAACCAGAGCTTTTGTACAGGACATGACCAACAACAACACATCGTAATCAAAGGGTTCAAATCTTAAAACAAATATAATACGTTATGCCACTTTGGCTGATTGTAGTTCTAATGTCTATCATCATGGATGTAATGAGCCGAGTGTGTCTTAGCTTTTGGTATTCATTGATTGTTACTTTGTTAGGTATGATTTTCTATAGTTGTCATCATTGTGAGTATTTTGAAAGAGCTCTTGAGCGTGTCTTTGCTCACGATTCATTATTAGGTAGAATTTTCGATATAGTTTGTGTTTATTGTGAGACTCATTTATTTTTCATCAAGCCTTTATTATTGGTTATGACTACTAATATGCATATGTTCGATATAGTCTGTGTTTATTGTGAGACTCATTTATTTTTCATCAAGCCTTTATTATTGGTTATGACTACCAATATGCATATGACTATTATGTAAACGACACATATAAGGGTCCTACTTCACTATTTATCTTGAGGTAGGATTCTCGATATAGTTATGTTTCACACAGCTGAATCTAGGCACAGTTTTTTTTTTCTCATGCAACACTCCCTGTTAATTAAATTAGTGGCAAAGGGAGGTGGAGAGCAGTGGTGTCTGAGATACGACTTTGAAAAATGAAATTGTTATTTGTACATAGATACTTGCTTTTTCGCCATAAATAGCGTAATAATAACTAAATACCATAGAGTTAGAACCCCATGGGTAGAATACTCAACTTTTCTAATCATAATACAAGCAAATAAATAAAATTATACCTACATCATATCACTAGTATTATCACTAGTCATGATATGACAATGACAGTGATATGATAATCCATCACCTTGATTTTAACTCAACATTTAGAAAATTTGTATAGAAAGAGCGCAATAACTAAGAGCTACGTAATTATATCCATTTTGTTATATTCTGTCAAACATAAGAAATCATACAAATATCATATCGGTGTCATACCAACATCATATCAGTGACATATTATACCATAGTGATAATGTCATGATGTGAACTTGAAATGATGTCATCAAATTATATTGATCAATATAAGACCTGACACCAACATCATATCGATATCATATCAACATTATACAGTATTACATCATACAATTGTTACTGATAATATCATGATATAACAGTTGTAAGATGGTTTAAAAAAATTTGCCCCAAAAAATACCAAAATGGATATAATCTTGTAGAGCACAAAATTATTTTTTTCAGTGAAATTTCTTTTTGAAATCCAATATATAATAAATAAGTTAAGGTCCGTCGAATTTTCGTATGAGATTTTAAAAATTCTTTAATAGTTGCTTAAGAATCTGCGTCGGCTCATCCAAAATCCGGTCACCTCTACCTAAATCTCTTATTTTCCTTCTCACCCCTTTATGATATGAACTGTTTTAGATCTTTTCTTTCCAAATTACAACCATTAGATTTTGTTTTGTAAGACTACAAAACTCAAGGATTTTTTTAAGGTAACTGCACTAAAAAGAATCATAAAACTTTATTTTTATTACATCAAGAATACTTACTTGAAAAAGAAGAAAATATTGATATGCCTAATGTTGTGAAAACTATGTGAAGGGTGGAAACTCTCACTAATCTTAATCACGTTAGACTAAAATACTCGAGTCGATATGCACTACATACAAATGCAATCGCTTTTGAAAGTTATTGTTAAAATGGATCGAGATAATTGACAATGCAAGAAAGTGAAAAACACACACCATTTTATGTGTTTTATTAACAGAGTATGTATTAGCTAATTCACGAACAAGAGAGAGCTAGTTTCACTATACTTGAAGTAATACATATTATAAAAAGATATAAGAAGTATATATTAGTACTTCTTCAAACAATCTAACCTTAATCCAATTTAGTAACAAATAAAGTTACAACATCGTGACTTCCAATCGACGACAGTTTATCCGATTGCAGTCATATCAACGGTTGTCATATTTGAAACAACTATATCAATATATGAAGTAACAATCTAAACCTCAGAATCGAAACAAGAATCAAAGCAGTGGTCCGTGATCATGAGGATAGGAGTGGTGATGAGGGCAAAGAGAGGAGACGTTTGTTGATTGATCATCTCTCCAACCCCACACACACAAACTCAACGCATTACACAATGCACAACACCCTCAGAAATTGACAAACTCTTACCCAAGCCCTGAATATATTGACAAAAATTCCCTGCCTGCCAGCCCTCCCTCTTTCCTTCACATGCCCACCAAATTCCAACTGTAAACCCTGAGACCAGTTGCAGCAGAACAGCAGCAGCAGCAGCAGCAGCTAATCCCACCACTCACTATACCTATACAATCTCTCCTCCTTTTACTTTGATCACTCCTTTTCACTCACTCCGCCTCTGATCTTTCTCTGTCTGGCTATGTGAAAAACTTAAAGCAGCTTCCTTCATATCTTGTGCTGCTACCTCTTTCTCTTTCTCTTTCGACCAACCTGAAACAGTAGAGCCCAGTACACAAGGAGAAAGTTCTGCAGCAAAAGGTGAGATCCGATTTCGTAAGACACAGCCCCTTTTTAGTTGAGACCCAGAATAAAAGCTTCCAACTTTGCTCTACACATACATATAGGTGGTGGACACCCCTCCCCACCAGTCCCCACTTACCTAGCTACATAGCTCTTCTTGTCTCCTGTTCTCAAGCCTAGAAACAGATTCTGAGCCCTTTTCCATGATCTCTCCCTTTTTTTGGGTCCTAGCCTCTTCAGTCTCTTTTCCCCAATTTGACTTCCAACCATTTTTGTTTGTTTACTGTTGATCAGTCCTTTTCCCTTGCCTGCAAAAAAGCTGCTGCCGGGGGAGTATGAAACTGAACTGTCAAACACTCTTACCACATCCTACTCGCAGAAGCAGGAGCTAGATTACATAGCAGGAGCAGAGCCAAATCCTTCCTTCTTTGCTTTGCTTTGCTTTGCTTCATATAACCAAGCACCCACGTAAGTATAGCACAAATGGGTCGTTTCCCAATGCCTCCCCCTTCAAAAGTTACACTAGTAAGGTCCTTTTCTGGCTAGCTGCACCTTCTGCTGATTCCTGATCTCTTGATATCCCTTTTGCATCCTCCCCCTAACTCTGTCTCTTTCTTTCCCCTCTTATCACTTCCTAAATTTGGTCTCTTCTTCTACTTCTACACTCCCTCCCTCTCCCAATGATGCAATTCACTGAAACCCTACCCCTCGTTCCCCAACCGCCTCTGCACCACCACCACCACCACCACCAAATCCCTGCCGCAGCCGCGGCCATGATCAACAACAGCAACAGCAGCAACAGCGACCCAGTAAGGGCCGGGCTGCCAGCACGGCCATGGCCAGGGCTACTCCCGACATCCAAATCATTCGGCAACTTCGGGGATGCAAACTGCATGGAGCAGCTGCTCGTCCACTGCGCCAACGCGATCCAGAGCAACGACGCCACTCTGGCCCAGCAGATCCTCTGGGTGCTCAACAACATCGCCCCTCCAGACGGCGACTCCAACCAGCGCCTCACTTGCGCATTTCTTCGAGCACTTGTCGCGCGTGCCGCCAAGACGGGCACCTGCAAGATCCTCGCCACCACCGCCGCCCGCTACTGCTACAACAACAACCTCCTCCCGCTCTCCACCCACCGCTTCTCCGCCATCGAGCTCGCCACTTTCGTCGATCTCACACCCTGGCACCGATTCGGCTTCACCGCCGCCAACGCCGCCATCCTCGATTCCATCGAAGGCTACTCCTCTGTTCACCTCGTCGACCTCACCTCCACGCACTGCATGCAGATCCCCACCTTAATCGACGCCGTCGCCTCCCGCTTCGAATCCCCTCCGTTGATCAAGCTCACCGTCGCCGCGCCCACCGACAGCAGCCTGCGCCCGCCCGTACTGGATCTCTCCTACGAGGAGCTCGGGTCAAAATTGGTCAACTTCGCCAGGTCGCGGAACGTAGCCATGGAATTCCGCGTGATCCCTTCCACCCACTCCGACGGATTCTCCACCCTCATCGACCACCTCCGAATCCACCACCTCCTCTACCCGGAAGCGACGCCGCCCGCCGCGGAAGCGCTGGTGATAAACTGCCACATGATGCTGCACTACATCGAGGACGAATCGACGGCGATCATCGCCTCGCCGTCGCCGAGGGACGCGTTCCTGAAGTCGATCCGGAGCCTGGAGCCGACGATTGTCGTGGTTGTGGACGAGGACGTCGAGCTAACGGCGGGGAATCTGGTGTGCCGGCTGAGGTCGGCGTTCAACTACTTCTGGATCCCGTTCGACGCGGTGGACGCGTTCCTGCCGGCGGCGGGGAGCAAGCAGCGGCAGTGGTACGAGGCGGAGGTGTGCTGGCGGATCGAGAACGTGATCGCGCAGGAAGGGATGCAGAGGGTGGAGCGGGCGGAAGGGAAGGCGCGGTGGGTGCAGCGGATGCGAAACGCTGCGTTTCGGGAGGCGGCGTTTGGGGAGGATTGCGTGGCGGAGGTGAGGGGGATGCTTGGGGAGCACGCCGCCGGGTGGGGCCTGAAGAAGGAGGAAGAGGATCAGCTCGTGCTGACCTGGAAAGGCCACAATGTCGTCTTCGCTACTGCTTGGGTTCCTGCTTAATTTGACTACACCAATTTCTAGTGTTTTCTTTTCCTTTTCCTTTTCTTTTGGGTTAAGTTAATGTAGAATTAATTCATTTTCAGACAATTTAATCGTCCGTACCTGTATTCTTGATATGTCTCAACTTCTTTAGTTTCAACAGTTCATGCGCCTGCCTGTATAGTTTGTGCCCTGAATTCGCCCTGATTTCATTATTGAATCTTTCCTTACCATTGCAATTTAATCGTCCGTAATTCCGTATAACTGTTACGGATATTTTTAGTTCTAAACCAATTCCGTAAACCAAGCCATATGATCAATAAATGAGGTTAAAAAACATGTATAGTTATTTACTTATCAATATATTAACATATAGTTGAATACAAGCGTGTCATTTGAATACAAGGGTGTCGATGACGACTGAACCGCTCAACTCAAATGAGTATCTGAAGATAATATACATACACATAAGTTTTACAAACTTCCAAATGATCTTGACACTATTACTAGCCATGTGTCTCAATCCTCTCATAAGTGTATGCAAAATCAAAGTGCCAATTTCTTGAAGCGGTTGCACTTCATGCTTATTTAGGTTAAATCTTGTATTCGTGTACCCACATAATACACTTTGTCAAAGATTCTATGAAGAACTTCAAACGTTGTCCTCATTTCTAATACAGGATGACAAATAAATGCATCGGGATGATGCATTGTGTGCTTCAATTTCTAATAATGAGCTTTTCTAATTGAATTCAACATCTAACGTTGTATTAGAGGAGAATTGAGTGTCTCATGATTTAAAATCACCCCTTCCACATACTTGACCACCAAATCTCTAGTTAATCTTTCCACATACTAATCCGCGAGTGAGTAATTCACGAATTTCACTATATCTAACTCCCAAATGGCAAGACTTGCCATTATACATATGGTTGTATGTCTTATCTAAAGTAGCATTACTATCATAATGGATAGACTTTGATAAGGTTGGTTTAGGCCATAAAGAAATGTCATAAACCAAGCCTCTCAACTACTCTGTCTCTCCTTTAGCGGAAGCCATACATGCTCCAAACTCTGACTCCATAATGGAACTAATGATACAAGTTTTCTTTCAAGGACCTAAGAGATGGTACCTCCCCAAGCAAGAAAACACATCCTTATATTGAAGTATGATCTTCTTGTTCCTCTAGTTCCTATGGAAGGAATGAAGTGATCTACTTTTAACAACATGAAGATGAAAGAATAAGAAAACATACCAAGAACAATCTGTTGGGTCCATGATTAGTTGGAGGTGCAGAAAACGAGTTCAGCGAGCATGCATGACAGAATTTTGGTGTTGTCATATCACTATTTACCACTACCATATCACATTATGTAAGATTTTTTTATATAGAACAAAAAAATTTCACATTATCATACCACTATCATATCACAATATATCATTGACAATGGTATCATGTTGCTGTCAGTTTACCATAGTGGTAAGATCATGATATGACTGGTGGGATGGGTATGGTGAGGTCTTAAACTAGTGTTATGAAGTTGATATGATAGTTATATGATGTTGGTATGGATAGTGATATGATGTTTTGGGGAGGTCTAATATTTGACAAAATATTTTGATGTCATCATATAACTATCATATATATCATTATATTATCACTATATACCATAGTGATATTATCATGATATTATCATGATATGATAGTGGTTTGATGTTCATTTAGTCTTACCATAGTGGTAAGATCATCAGTGCCGTAGCCATAATTTTTCTTAGGATGGGTCCGATGCAATCATAAAAAATATATAAAATAAAATCTATTAATGTTTACAATGACGCACAATGTGTTTTCATATTTTGAAAATACTCTCAAATACATTGATCATACAAATTATCTAAAATATAACTCTCTATATATCCTATAAAAAAACCATTCAACACTTCATCACTCATTCGACTCCCCGGTGTGTTCTTCACATAATTCATTGAAAAAAATACTCTTTCAACATTTGTTGTGGCGTCTGGTAGCAACAACGCAATTTTGAGAAGTCGATGCACCAATTGAAATTATAATAACTTCTTCGACACAACCAGTTTCCGAGAAAGCTCGTAAATTTTCTTCAATTTAGTGAATCTCTTTTTTGTCTTCACATCAAAGATATAACTATCTAGTTGAGTATCAATGTGTAAACTATCATTCTTTTAGAATTCCTAAAGATAAAAGGTAGCAAGCTCTTGAACTCCTGAAATGGTCTTCACTTTCTTTGCATAATATCTCGACTTGTGAGGTCATTGTGGGTACAAGACAGAAGAAGGTGGTGGATGGAGGAAAAATGATGAAGACGGCCGACTTCAGCCTTCGCTTCGTCTGGTGGGATTCGCGAACGATAGTGGGAGGGTAAGAGGTTCCCAACTAATTTGTGTTTGAGGGAGAGATCAGAGATCGACACATAGATTGGGGAATTTAGGATACAAATATTTATTTGTTCAAATCCATTTATATTCTAATAATTAACTATAAAATATTAATGAAATAACATGAGCTAGTTGGTTAAGTAAGCTAGTCATTGAATCATACAATGTCGGGTTTCAATTTCCATGAACAGCTATATTATATTGATAGTTTTTTTTCAAGGTTGGTGACAGGGGCGGAGCTACCTTGTGTCTCGGGGGCCCCCGAGAATTTTGGAGATCGCGTGTAAAAATATCGGGAATTTTGAAACTTCTGAAGAAGTTAACTATTGTAGAATAACAATGACGTGCAATAATGAGTAACAATGTCTCGGTCTAGTCTAACGAAATGCAGCAGCTGCTTGGTATTTGTGAATACCCAGTACCATTGTTCAATCCCTAGCAGCAACATTGTTTTTTTAGTTTTCCTACTTTGGTTGAGTTTTTGTTTAAAATTTAGACTGATCACTTAACTTTTGTACTTATTCAAATACTTTTTAATTTCAAAGTTCAAACTAGATAATGAAATTTTGGAGCTTATAATATTTTTCTAATTTAGATAATTAAATTTCAGAGTCTAGATAATTAAATTTTGAAGCTTATGACTCACTATATAAATATCAATTTTTTTACTGATATTATACAATAAAGTCCGGTTCAAATACTTTTTAATTTCAAAGTTCAAACTAGATAATGAAATTTTGGAGCTTATAATATTTTTCTAATTTAGATAATTAAATTTCGGAGTCTAGATAATTAAATTTTGAAGCTTATGACTCACTATATAAATATTAATTTTTTTACTGATATTATACAATAAAGTTCCCCCCACCGAACACTGGATCCTAGCTCCGCCCCTGGTTGGTGACTGGGACCCACCCTCCTCCCTCCGCCCCTAAAGATCATGATATAGTGATGATAAGATAATAACAAACATGTGTTTTTAAAGAACTAATTTGTTTTTTTCTCAAAATATAACAAAATTGATATCATTGTGTAGCTCATAAATACTGAAATCTTTATGTGCAAATTTCTTAAAATTTTGAGTAAAAAAGAAATAGATATATCATCATATATACCACTGTCATACTCATATATGATAGCAATAATACTACAACTAATATACTTTTCAAGAGCTACTTTGTTTTTTTTTTTCTCAAAATATAGCAAATAGTCATCATTCTGTGATCATAACTAATGCATTATTTCTATGTAAAGTTGTTTAAATTCAGAGTTAAAACAAATGAGATAACATTTAATAAAGTAAAATAAGAGATTATAAAAAGTAAGCTTAGTTCTAAGTGTCTTCTCTCATCACTAGATCAGTATCAATAAAAAAAACAAATAATTAAAATAACCGAGGTATGCAAAATTACCGTTCGCTTCTTAGTTTTGTTATTGATTTTGAGCTATTTTGAACCCTTTGATGTGATTAAGATGGATAGATTTAGATTGATTTTTTAGGATATAGTTTTAACCCTATCCGCTCTCAATTCTCATAATCAATGGTATTCTTTTTTGGATTAAAGAAACATATATTTTTCTTTTTAAAATTATCATTTCTGACGGGCATACAATGAGCTAGAAATCAAGTTTAGATTATAATTTGTGACGAAATACCTCTCAACCAATTATCATTAATTCCGCAAACACTAAGAAGTGCAAAAAATACGTCGGAATGGAAGCCACTCATGAATGATTTCAAAAGAGTGCATATATTTGAAATAATTTAATTATTATAATTGAAAAAAAATTCAAACTCATACAAAGGTAGTTTTTTTTTTTTTTGGGGTGAACATACAGAGGTAGTTTTGATTTGTGCTGTAATCCACTTGCGTGCCTAAAATAAATTCTCTTCGCCATAGTAAGAAGAAAAAAAAGGAAAAGAAAGAACAATACGTAGGGTGTCATTAACCAACTTTCACATTATTATCGACCCAGAACACCACAATCCGTCCGGATATTCCCACCACGACCCGTCTTGACTCCAACCCGACCCAGCTTTGTGATGGCAGTAATGAATGCCTGTTGGAAAGCAACCGAGTTTCCGGCCCATGCATCGACAGTGGGCCTGGACTTGAGGTCCGTGTAGAGAATTTGGTCCGATGTAAACAGGCCCTTCCCTTGCTGGAGATTCTTGAAGTAGGTGTTGTCGAAAGTATTGGGCGTGATTGGGTCCATGTTGATGGCTATCCTTGGGTCAACGTTTCGAGGGCACATCTGCTGTAGCTGGGTCGCGTAGGCTCGGTTAAGGGTTGGGTCCACCTGGCTTCCCCGGCTGAAGTTGTAGATCCGGTTCGCGAACTTGCCACAGTGAGAAAATCCGACACTATGGGCAGCTGCCAGTAAAAATAAATCAATAAGATAAGTACGAAATGAGCAACCCCTATTAAAAAAATCGAGCCAAGCTAAGTGACAACGAGTTCAGAAATCAAACGTGTAGTCGATAAGTAGTTAAAATATTTACGATTTGGCATTTTTGTAACTAAATGAGCAACTCTATTGAAATTTCGAGATGCACAGATAGAAGAAAGAAAGAAAAAAAAAAACTCGCTTGGACAGTCGACGAACTTCTTCCAAGATAGCCACACTCAGGTCATGGTTAAAAATATAAGACAGCTTGTAATTTTTTTAATATTAAAATAGAAAGAACAAACTAACTTCACACAATTTGAAATGATGACTGAATTTTTTTTGGAACCTCACTGTTGGCAACCCAACTATACTACTCACATGCATCTTATTATAACATGGTCACATGCGCATGACGTAATTGATTTAGATCAAGCGATATATGATCGAAGAAATAAAAATGCATATTATTTAAAAAAAAATTATCACCGTTTTCATCCAACAATCGTAAATCACCAGGGTGGCAAAGTTGAA